GTGAATGAACGTAAGTAGACTCACCATATCGAGATCTCCAGTCTCTTCTAGGCTTTCCTGCATTCGGTGCACCTACACATAGACACAGAGAGAGAGAGAAAGGGAGGTGGATTCATTCCAGTGAGCGACGAGAATCACAATGAAATGAATACGTATATCAGAGAATTTGGTGGTGGACATTTGGTGCAGGTAATTTGATCAACAATGTGTCGAAGAGTGAGGAGTGGGGAAGCAAGCAGAAGTGCACAATCCGAATGTCTATTTCTATAATTGTGGATAAAGCAAAGTGCATAGTATATTAGTGCAAAAGTTATAAAGGTGGAGACGAGAAGGAGAGGAGATGTGAAATGGAAACACACTTGGAATGAGCATGTGATGTGATCGAGATGAATCAGTGGATTAGAATAGCAGTCAGTCTGTGTAAAAATAAACAGGATGGATTAGGTGACATGTTGATTAGTAGAAGAACTGTGAGTGATTAGTACGTTGACTTACGGTAACGATCTGCAAACAGTGAGAGACAAACAGAGAGAGAGAGAGAGATAGACAGACAGGAATAGAGGAGCATTAAATTAGATACACACATAACGAAGTGAAACAACATGATTCAAGTGGAATAACTGCGTGGAATATTGTGTAGGGAGGGACAAGCGCATGGCCGTATGTGTGATTGTGAGTGTGGAAATCTAATGTGTGAGCGTGTAGGATTTTGCATTCAACTAGTCGAGTCGCCTATTAGAAGAGTGAAGAAGTAGTAGTAGCTCACGTGGTGGAGGCGGAGATCGAGATTGATTTCCATGCAGCGGAGGAAGAGGAGCAGGAGGAGCAAAGACTCTGAAGTTGTGAGTAGGATTGAGTGAGGCGTTTGAGATCATTGAGTATTTAAGTGGGAACAGACAACAGTATTGTAGAAACATTATCCCTTATCAATATTAGAACAAGAATTATGCACGTGAAATGTGTGATAATGAATATTATTACGGCGAGCGGTAAATCGACTTACGATATGGCTTCGACGGTGATTTACTTCCAGCTGATGGCTTCTTCACTGGTGCACTTGGTGGTTTGGCGGGGGCGGCTGGGGCTGCAGCCTTCTTGGAAGAAGCGTCCTTCTTACCTATGGGATGCAAAAGGATAATATCACAACCCATGGTCATTGCTATGTGTAAACGACAGTTCGATTCAACCAGCAATAAATAACAATCTCGATTTAAACGTGTCGCACTACTCAAACACACGTCCGCCTCCTACTCGCTCTCATATGATTTACCAAGTGTTCACGTAAAAGTAGATCACTGACTCCCTCAACAACAAACAGGAATCATGTTTCTGTTTGCTGAACAATATGATTCGTTTACAAAGAACTGGCAATCTCGTCATCTCAGCGTGAAATCATCTCGAAACTCACCTTCTTCATATACGCATGATTCTCAGTACCTGCATTCGAAAAGATGTCAAAAGAGTCGGAGAAATCTCATTCATCTGTCAAAAGGGAAATCGATGAACACGCTGTATGCATAGGTGATGTAAAAACAAACGCCTCGGAGGAAAGGACATCAAGATTCCTTTCAACTGCGTGATAATCAGTGCGGAGTGGTTCCGAAACAAACCGTCCATCACAAATTTACCAGTCGATCAATTGATAGAAAGATGACGGGATTACTAGAAATACCAGACGTTCTGTAGTGAAAATTGCAGCCATACACGCAAAGATAGTGTTGTCGACATACAGCATAATTGGAATAATGAAATTTGTGCACTAACGATGAACTCACCAGCGGGGGCTGCTGGAGCAGCGGCAGGAGCGGCAGCAGCAGCACCAGCTTTAGCTGCGTCTGCTCCACCACTGGGTGCGGCACCGGCAGCAGCGTCACCTGAATGGAAACAAAAGGAGTGTAGATGAGGAGATTAATCAGCCAACCAGTTGATGAATAGTTATCAGATTCTGTTGAGAAAGGAAAGTCATCAGACAGCTGAATACAGGCTGGAATAGCGAGTTTTGAGTGCATGAGATGACACTGTGCAGTTGGGAGTGAGTGAGTCGATGGAGAGGAAATGATGAAGACAGAGGAAGGGACAGAGACAGATTGAGAGGAGAGCTGGACATCAGTATCAGTTGTCCCCAGACATCATTATCTTAACATGTTTGACAGCGTATGCAGGCTACCTTCTGGAGAATGAGTGATTGGCTGACTGGCGGGTGTATGCTTCGATGTATGCACTCGGTCTAGTTTAGTTGACAGCTTCACTGGTGCTTCGAGATTGATTCTCTAACAACGTGCTATTGAGTCGCAATTGATCTGTCAACTGGATTGCATCCTTCCTTCAAGCAACGGGTTAAATGCTGATCACGTCAGTATACCACCGATCAACATCACATTACATGAATAAAGAAGAACGTTTGGTAGTGATATACTCACCCTTGTCACACTGAACAACATTTGGATAGGTGGCAGCGAGTGCAATCACCAACAATGCGATCTGTGATGGGGAAAGAAGAGACAAATGAATACAGGTTAGTTAGTTAGTTAGTTGGCATAAATGTCAAGCGAAGAATCAACTCACCAATATCTTCTCCATTTCTGACTTCAGTTCAATTCACTTCACTTGACTTCACTGGATTTTGATCTCTCGGTCAGTTGCACTCTCTTTTATAGGCTTCGACATGCATCGATCGACCTCTCTACTTGTCAGTTATTCAGTTCTGTTGGTTGGCTGTCACCAGTTAATAGACATTACTGCATTTGACAATATGATCTCCAACTGAGTGAGTGATCTGTGTCACACATTCTCACAATCCACTCACAGTTATTCCCTCGTGATCGACCTCTACAGCTGACTTGGTCTCATACTATTGACTTTCAATATGAATCACGTTTCCCCCGTAGTAGGTGTGCAAATCAATTAGATCGGCTGAGTGCGACATGATGAGATAGTGGTCAGGTGTGCATCAAGATTTCGAATGTGTGTGCATGTGTGCGTGTGTGCTTTTATGTTTACCATGGATCCAATTAACGACTGTGCGCCTTCTATTACCAGCGTGTGTATTTGTAGACACTGTGTTCTGAAGACGTTGGAGTAATAATTAAATTTAGGAGATTCATGGTAAACATAAAAGCACACACGGACACATGCACACACATTCAAAATCTTGATGCACACCTGACCACTATCTTCCTCACGTCGCACTCAGCCGATCTAATTGATTTGCACACCTACTACGGGGGAAACGTGATTCATATTGAAAGTCAATAGTATGAGACCAAGTCAGCTGTAGAGGTCGATCACGAGGGAATGACTGTGAGTGGATTGTGAGAATGTGTGACACAGATCACTCACTCAGTTGGAGATCATATTGTCAAATGCAGTAATGTCTATTAACTGGTGACAGCCAACCAACTGAACTGAATAACTGACAAGTAGAGAGGTCGATCGATGCATGTCGAAGCCTATAAAAGAGAGTGCAACTGACCGAGAGATCAAAATCCAGTGAAGTCAATTGAAGTGAAGTGAATTGAAGTCAGAAATGGAGAAGATATGGTGAGTTGATTCTTCGCTTGACATTCATGCCAACTAACTAACTAACTAACTAACTAACTCATCTGTATTCATTTGTCTCTTCTTTCCCCATCACAGATCGCATTGTTGGTGATTGCACTCGCTGCCACCTATCCAAATGTTGTTCAGTGTGACAAGGGTGAGTATATCACTACCAAACGTTCTTCTTTATTCATGTAATGTGATGTTGATCGGTGGTATACTGACGTGATCAGCATTTAACCCGTTGCTTGAAGGAAGGATGCAATCCAGTTGACAGATCAATTGCGACTCAATAGCACGTTGTTAGAGAATCAATCTCGAAGCACCAGTGAAGCTGTCAACTAAACTAGACCGAGTGCATACATCGAAGCATACACCCGCCAGTCAGCCAATCACTCATTCTCCAGAAGGTAGCCTGCATACGCTGTCAAACATGTTAAGATAATGATGTCTGGGGACAACTGATACTGATGTCCAGCTCTCCTCTCAATCTGTCTCTGTCCCTTCCTCTGTCTTCATCATTTCCTCTCCATCGACTCACTCACTCCCAACTGCACAGTGTCATCTCATGCACTCAAAACTCGCTATTCCAGCCTGTATTCAGCTGTCTGATGACTTTCCTTTCTCAACAGAATCTGATAACTATTCATCAACTGGTTGGCTGATTAATCTCCTCATCTACACTCCTTTTGTTTCCATTCAGGTGACGCTGCTGCCGGTGCCGCACCCAGTGGTGGAGCAGACGCAGCTAAAGCTGGTGCTGCTGCTGCCGCTCCTGCCGCTGCTCCAGCAGCCCCCGCTGGTGAGTTCATCGTTAGTGCACAAATTTCATTATTCCAATTATGCTGTATGTCGACAACACTATCTTTGCGTGTATGGCTGCAATTTTCACTACAGAACGTCTGGTATTTCTAGTAATCCCGTCATCTTTCTATCAATTGATCGACTGGTAAATTTGTGATGGACGGTTTGTTTCGGAACCACTCCGCACTGATTATCACGCAGTTGAAAGGAATCTTGATGTCCTTTCCTCCGAGGCGTTTGTTTTTACATCACCTATGCATACAGCGTGTTCATCGATTTCCCTTTTGACAGATGAATGAGATTTCTCCGACTCTTTTGACATCTTTTCGAATGCAGGTACTGAGAATCATGCGTATATGAAGAAGGTGAGTTTCGAGATGATTTCACGCTGAGATGACGAGATTGCCAGTTCTTTGTAAACGAATCATATTGTTCAGCAAACAGAAACATGATTCCTGTTTGTTGTTGAGGGAGTCAGTGATCTACTTTTACGTGAACACTTGGTAAATCATATGAGAGCGAGTAGGAGGCGGACGTGTGTTTGAGTAGTGCGACACGTTTAAATCGAGATTGTTATTTATTGCTGGTTGAATCGAACTGTCGTTTACACATAGCAATGACCATGGGTTGTGATATTATCCTTTTGCATCCCATAGGTAAGAAGGACGCTTCTTCCAAGAAGGCTGCAGCCCCAGCCGCCCCCGCCAAACCACCAAGTGCACCAGTGAAGAAGCCATCAGCTGGAAGTAAATCACCGTCGAAGCCATATCGTAAGTCGATTTACCGCTCGCCGTAATAATATTCATTATCACACATTTCACGTGCATAATTCTTGTTCTAATATTGATAAGGGATAATGTTTCTACAATACTGTTGTCTGTTCCCACTTAAATACTCAATGATCTCAAACGCCTCACTCAATCCTACTCACAACTTCAGAGTCTTTGCTCCTCCTGCTCCTCTTCCTCCGCTGCATGGAAATCAATCTCGATCTCCGCCTCCACCACGTGAGCTACTACTACTTCTTCACTCTTCTAATAGGCGACTCGACTAGTTGAATGCAAAATCCTACACGCTCACACATTAGATTTCCACACTCACAATCACACATACGGCCATGCGCTTGTCCCTCCCTACACAATATTCCACGCAGTTATTCCACTTGAATCATGTTGTTTCACTTCGTTATGTGTGTATCTAATTTAATGCTCCTCTATTCCTGTCTGTCTATCTCTCTCTCTCTCTGTTTGTCTCTCACTGTTTGCAGATCGTTACCGTAAGTCAACGTACTAATCACTCACAGTTCTTCTACTAATCAACATGTCACCTAATCCATCCTGTTTATTTTTACACAGACTGACTGCTATTCTAATCCACTGATTCATCTCGATCACATCACATGCTCATTCCAAGTGTGTTTCCATTTCACATCTCCTCTCCTTCTCGTCTCCACCTTTATAACTTTTGCACTAATATACTATGCACTTTGCTTTATCCACAATTATAGAAATAGACATTCGGATTGTGCACTTCTGCTTGCTTCCCCACTCCTCACTCTTCGACACATTGTTGATCAAATTACCTGCACCAAATGTCCACCACCAAACTCTCTGATATACGTATTCATTTCATTGTGATTCTCGTCGCTCACTGGAATGAATCCACCTCCCTTTCTCTCTCTCTCTGTGTCTATGTGTAGGTGCACCGAATGCAGGAAAGCCTAGAAGAGACTGGAGATCTCGATATGGTGAGTCTACTTACGTTCATTCACATGCACGCCTACAGATACACACACATGTACTCACTCACTCACTCACTCATTCTGGCAATCAGGCATTGACAGTCTCGCCCACTTACTGTCTCACTCTCTCACTCATCGTCTCTCTTATTGACTTCAATCTCTTCACTGTAGTATGTTATCTGTTATGCAGCAGCAGCGGCGGAAGGAATCTGTGTTCACATATTCTTAGATTTACTGTCCTCCTGTCAACTGAATTTTAAGTGGATTCGAGTGTTTGATTTTCATTTTGAATAGTCGTCTATTCGATCCCCTGCTGATGAACACCTGATATCTCTGGACGGCCTGCAAAATTCGGGATACCGATTTCACATGGTGAAGATTCCATACATGTACCATAAAATACGGTGTGGAATCGAGCTGTAATTAAAAATAAAAAAATAATTATATGTGATACAGGCCATTCGGAATTGAGACGACTAAGGAATTATGGGCCCTCATGCACATCTCAAGATATTCTTCTCTGTGTGCTCTCATATCCTCTGTACTCGGTTAAATTCAGCTCATCTCACTTGCCTTTCCAATCTCGTTAGCTGCTGATCAGGGAGTGAACTGTGTATTGAATGAAATTGACATTGTAATCCGGTTCATTTGGCTGGTAGGTGTCTGATCATGCACCTGGTAGTGATTCCATCATCAATGGATGAGTATGCCCTCGTGAATGAACAAATAGTTGTCTTAGTCAATCCACCAGTCATTCAGTCACATTCTGCACAATCTGTTCCACATTCGATATACCATCCACCTCACTGTCTACAATTAGCCTTCTGCATTATCATGTTTGTAATATTTCCATGTTTTCTGATTTCTGCTTTTCAGGTATGAAGTAACTCTGAGTGAAGGAAGATATTCTGAGGTTAATGCATGCATGCATGCATGCACTGATGACATGCAGTCAATTGTAAGCTATTCGTTGCTGACGATTATCTTACTGTTAACTGATTACTGAATAAACTTTTCACATCAAACAATTGTGTTGTGTTTTCTTTCTTCTTACCCTCTCTTGTGTTACTTTCATGGACACTTGTTGATTGGATTATGTGAGTTGTCGTATGCAGTGAATTTTTCTGAGCGTCCAAGTACTCTCTATTACTCGGTGAAAATATGTTTTTGATCCCTTGGTGATTGTTTGCGTTGTCATCCTGAAATGTTTACCGTCTTAACGTGTATGTGGGATCTGTGTTGTGTTTTGTCGTTACCTACACATCGATTTCAAGTACTGTATATATATATATATATATATATGTTGCTCCTAAATCCTGGCTCCTTAAATTAACTCTCCTTGAAACACCGCCACATGATTCAACCCACTTTGTTCCTTCATGTGATTCTACTCTGACAATTGAAGTTTATCATTCTCTGAATGGCCATCATTCAGCCTGTTTTCTTCCTTTTCATCAGTGCATCATTTGATTCAACTGTCAACATATGGATACTGTGTGGTGTTGAAGTGGTTTAGTCCTACTGGAATTTCGAATTTGATCTGTCAAAACGATGGTACGCTTAAAGCAGTACTCACCTTGTAATATATGGTTATTGATGAGTTGCTGCTCTACTAAGTTTTCTCAGCATAGATTGAGGCTATGACAGAGTTGGCTGCAGAATTATGGAGGTTTTAAATCATCAAAGTCTTTTCAAATTTTAATGTTCACTTCGCACACTTTGAAGTGTTTCCCGAGGATAAACAACACAATTTTATATCCGCATGCATGATGTGGTAGAAGACAGTGATTATTAGTCCCCTATCCAACTGAAATGTCCTAGACTGCAGCTTCACTATTAATTCAGTTCATTCTTTTGTGTTAGCAAGCTAATGGGGGACACCTCCTGACAGAGGAGAATCTGAATGTCATCAGTACTGAGTTCACTTGTACATACCTGTGCCGATGTTCAAATTCGTTTCATTTGAAAACAAATGGATGGCTTGAACTAATTTCACTGGTGAAGTGAATGATATGTCCTGCCTTGACTCCTGAATAACAATCGGCTGTTACAACAAAATGGGAACACTTTTTACGAACAATCGAATATAAGTAAGAGGAATAAATAAGCCCTAAAGGCAAGAGAAATGCTGAAAATCAGATCGATACAGCAAATGAAATAGACGCTGGTTAATGTGTGTAGGTGGACAACTTCAAAAACAAAATCAGCTGGGTACCGAACACCGAAATTTACAGCTATGTAAGTATGGGCGTCACGCCTCTAATGCGGAAAGTTTAGACAGATGTAATGGTACCTACTGATTGGAATAGATCTCAACTAGAAGCAGCACTTATTCCGTACTCAACTCTTCCAAACACTATATCATGTTGGAATCAAATGACAGTGCTACGCATCATCATCATCTACAGCCGAACGAAGACGTGACATATCGAGTGATTCACTGCAGGAAATTCAGCGAGGCGTATGAAGTGAAGAAAGATGTAATTCAAGGTTGCCCATCATCCACAAGCGAAAACAAACAAGCTGGCAGAATAAGCAGTCGGTGAATACAGGACATTAGGCAAACATAGACAAAACAGAGGCGATGAAGATAACCAACTAACATCAATAGCGACAGTCACCAATCACCATCGACCGGAGTAGTTCTGACGAGATAACTGATTTCGACCACGTAATTAGTATCGTTTGAATTGAAGGTATCATGGATAAAGATATCAAACGTTGCCAGAGTCACTAAGGCAATACGAATACTCACCACACCGAAATCAATTCGGAAATCCTCTGAACACAGCACAGGGAACAACATTCGGATTTTCAAACACTTAAATTAAGTCAGACAGTACTTCCATATTATTCACGGACTTGGCGCGTCACCAGCAGTAATATGAACATGCTGCAGACTGTTATCAACAGCTGACCACTTCACTTCAAGCTGAAGAACAAATGGCGACAAACGATTAGCAATAACGAACTCTAGAAGTCGAAGAATCAACCAAGAAACTTCTGCCCAATAAAAATACAAAATAAAATGGAAATGGATCAGACACACTCTGAGGAGATCGCAGAGTGTCAGCGCACTTCAGGGCATCCATCGAGTGGAAAACAAATGGAAAACGACCAGTTGGGTAAGGTATAGAGTGTGACATAGGGAGATCGCGCAAGGAGGAGATGATAGTCTGTGCACGATAGTACAGCCAGATGAGGGGGATTGCAGAGAAGAGGATGAAATGAAGATGTATGTTCTAAGCTGACTGTCCTACTTGAGACCAAAGGGAAGAAAAACAACTTCGGATGAGAGTAAACAAAGAGATGACGACAGCAAAATTAATTTAATTTTTCAAATCGTGGAAAATACCCATCGGAATATTAGATTGAAAAAAACAAGAAGTTCAGCAAAGATGGCGTCGATCTTTTCGGCGATTTCATTCTCAAAAGCAGCTAGCTGTACAATCGCATTTATATAGATTAGTTTACATGGGTACAATTATTATTCTTTGTTTAATTCCACATAGTAACAAAGGTGATAATAATTTTCAACTTGATATAAAACTTTGAAGGTATGAAAATAGATTACAAGGGGCTTAGAGACAAGATTGCATAGGATTAGAAAACAGTTACAATGTATGCAAAATTAATATTTGATAACTGGAGAAATAATAGTTTTAAAGGCGAATAAAAGGTGACAATTATTTTCAACATGATATGAATTACAAGAGGCTTAGAAACGCGGGGATAGAACGAATTACAGGTGTGAACAAAATGAGCATGGAAACAAATTGAAATCAAAAAGTTTTTCAACTTGAAATGTAAGTTAGGAGGTGTGAATAAAGATTACAAGAGGGATAGAATAGAAAAATTACACAGGATTAGAATATTATTTTTTTTATTTTTTTATTTACAGCTTGATTCTACACCGTATTTTTGGTACAAGTGTGGAATTTTCAGCATGGATATCGGTAGCCCAAATTTTGTAGGCTGACCATAGATATCAGGTGTGCGTCGGCAGAGGATCGAACCTCGGACCATGTGCATGGTCGGCAAGAGACCTAACCACTGTGCCACCAACGCAAATAAAAATAGTTATTCTAAACGGATTACAAATGTGGTCAGGAGGAACATGGAAACAAACTTAAAATAACTGATTTTATAACTGAAAAAATTGAATGAATTGAATGAAGGAAAAGAGAAAATTGTGTGTGTCGACGGCATAGCGGTTAGGACGCTCGCCGACCATACACATGGTCTGGGGTTCGATCACCGGTCGACGCACTCCTTAACCACGCTAAACCAGAAATAATGCTGGTAAAGAGGAAAGGTTGGACATGAGGCTAGCAACCCCATCCTGTAAAATAAACACCGCTACAGAATCTTCACGCCACTAGCTTGAAGCCATATGTTCCACTGGGTAACATGAAGGAAAAAAAGAGAAAATTACACGCAGGGAACAAAAGGTCAGAAACTAACGCTTCTCAATGAAGCGAAGGAAAATTAAGATAGGAATTTGAAGCGCCAATGTCTATTGAGAACTTGTTGACCTTTCTGTGGACCAAGGTAACCATAGAATTTCAACATACTTCTTCTGTAAACAGAGACCAGGTCTTCCGGGATTGACTGCTACCGCTTTAGCTACTGATAGAAGACGTAGCTGATCTCCTCTAGATAGATGACCAGGAACGTGATAGATAACCGAGAACTTCTGTTCCGGTTTTCTTGAATGTCCAGTATCTACCAATGGAGCCCAGATTACACTATTTACGCACTTAGTTACCCCTCTACTCAACCATGCAGGTACATGTTCACGTACATAGATGGATAAAGCCCCCTGAGTACCGCCAATGTAAGAAGATCATCATGAGCAGTTGAATTCATAGATACACGTTGGTGGGTTCATCTTTGGTAATTTGTCATTGACTCTTTTTGTGAGTACTGGTTTAGTTGAGAAGCTGAGTACCAGTTTATCTGCAGGCGATATTCTCTCCACGCTGCTCTGTTAAATCGACATTTTATCAGCTGCAATCTCCACTTTGCAACTTATTTAAAGATACAAGTGTTTCTTATCTACGATATCCATCGTCATCCTATCTCTACGTATCGACATATATTTTTCTTTAAATAGATAGTGTTACGAACTTGCCTTGTAACCGGAAGGTCCTAGGTTCGAAACCTGGTGGTGGGTGAGTACTGCCGATGAATGACAAACTAGGGTGAAACAACATCTGTCCAGTACTCCCTGGATTTCAATGTTTCTCTAACTGATATCAATCCGTGATCAGCTCATTAAAAAGTAGTATTCGCAATAATAAGCAAAGAGAAGAAACCAAGAGGATTAAGGGGAAGGAACGCTATTGGTAAGAAGTAGAATCATCAATTCAAGTTTGGCCACGGTAGGAACAGCGTCTGGACTTGTTCTTTTGGATAAAAATTTCCGGTTTAGTCGATCTTATTGCGACAGCTTCAGCTATGTGTAGGAGACTTCAGCGAACTGTACGTAATAGCGACTTCGGAATTCGGTATATAACCCTGAAAACTGTGTTGACACGGATACGATGCCCAGTATCCGCCAAATGTGACAGGATCGAGCTTTTTACGCACTTAATTTCCCCCTCGCTAAACTAAGGTGGTATATGTTCTCGAACCCGTAGACGAACCTGCCTAATCGTGCACCTTGCATAACTTGAACCACAGGAACAGTTGAAATGGAATATGCATAAAGAAGAGCTAAGATTAGGCAGGATATCTTTGAGTTGCTGAGTGAACATCGGAGGGCTACTGAAGGATAGATAGAGACGTGCAGAGTAGAAAGTTTTCTGGATGGCCTTGGTTAAACTTTGTGACGTTGCCAGTTCATGTTTACGACTGTTGTAACCTATGTTGGCTTTAACAAACTTCTACGGATATCCGTTCTCGCTTAGAATGTCTTGGATGACCTGGAGTTCTTTCTCTACGCAGTCTTCAGTACAAATAGACCTGGCTCTTAATGCTAAGCACGTGATAAGATTATGTTTGTATTTCATCGGTACGAAGCT